TTAACACGAGGAAGGGCTGAGTCCCACGTGTGGGGGAGGAAGGACGGGGACAGGGCCCCGTGCCAAGCACTCCTGGCCTCCCAAGGTCGGGCCGGGGTCCAACGCTGGCCACCCGGAGCTGGCAGCTCCCAGCCACCCTTTCCCACAGGTCCCTGGGGCTGTGTGGGGCTGAGGCAGCCCCTGAGCCACTCTGAGCCCTCTGTCACTTTGGCCTCTTTCTCTGGGCCTGGCGGCTCCAGCTTGGCACAACCGCCCCATCCATCCTCAGCGGGAAGCCCAGGCAAGAGAGGAAGGAGGTTGGGGGTAGGGCCAGCGGCATCCAGGGCGCCCTCCTGGGTTGACACAGGAAAATCTCAGGGTGGGAAAATGTCCAGCCTCTCACCCCCAGCCCCGCCGGATCCTGGTCCCCATGGAGACCTGGAGGTCACCTCCCAGCTGACCCCTGCCCCTCCGGCCTCCACTGGACAGCACATGATGGATGCTTCCTGGCCTGTGTTGTGTTTTATTCTTCTCCCTGAGAAGTCAGAAAGAGGAGGCAGCCAGGGGTCAGCACTGGGGCTGGGGTTGGAACCTCACGCACACATGCACACATGCACACGTGAGTGGGGCCTCGAGGCTGTGCTGTGTGGCCCTGGCAGGAAATCGCCCCTCTCTGAGCTGCTGTTCTTCTCCAAGCAGTTGAATCCTTTAGCCTCTTGCCTGTGTGCTTTACCCCACCCCAAGAGACACTGCCAGTGTCTTTGATATGCAGAACAGTGGAGAAGTTGAGGAACAAGGATTTGTAGGAATTTGTATTATTACATCTGTAACCTGCTAGGTGCTTTTCAAATTATGATCCCTTATTCAAAATCAACTTTAACAAAACATGGTTTCCATAGCAGAGAATCCATTCACTTGAAGTGCATCATTCATAAGCCAGGCGTGGTGGCACCAATTTTATTAATCTCAGCACTCAGGAAGGCTGAGGCAGGAGGGTCTCCAAGAGTATGAGGCAAGCCCAAACTACATAGGAAGACCCTGTCTCGAAAATCTAAAAATAAATAAATGAAGTGCACCATCCAGTAGTTCTTTCTTTTTTAATAGGCAAGCACTCTTTCACTAAGCTACAACCCCAGATTTCTTTTTTAAAAATTCTTACTTTTATTTATGTTTTTGTAGTACTGGAGATTGAACCCAAGGGTGTTCTAACACTGAGCTGTGTCCGCAACCCTTTTTCATTTTTTGATTTTGAGGCAGGATCTCATCAAGTTGCCCAAGCTGTGCTCAAAGTTTTGATTCTCCTGCCTCAGCCTCCTGACTAGCTGGGATGATAGAACCCTTCCTTTTTTTTTTAGGTGCTGGGATTGGAACCCAGGGTCTCATTCATGGTAGGCTAAAGATCTACATCCCAGCCTTGCTTCCTTCCTTTCTTTCCTCCCTGCCCCATATGAGGGATTGAACTCAGGACCTTGTGCTTGCAAGGCAGTCACGGCTCCACTGAGTTAAATCCCCAGCCTTTCTTTTCTTCCTTCCTTCCTTCCTTCCCTCCTTCCTTTCTTCCTCCTCTCTCTCTCTCTCTCTCGTTTTGCGACAGGGTCTCACTGCGTAGTTCAGGCTGGCCTTGAACTCAGAGACCCTCCTGCCTCGGCCTCCTGAGTGCTGGGATCACTGGTCAGTACAACCACTCCCATCTAGCCCTTTTTATAATTGCAGTTGCCCAACCGTCACCGTCATTAATTTGAGAGCATTTTCATTACCCTGAAAAGAAACCACACGTGGTGTAGCCAGGACCTTCCGGCCCACCTCCCACCCCAGGCCCTGGCAATCACTTCTGTGTTTTCGTCTCTACTGTGCATCTGCCTGTTGTGGGCATTTCATGTAGATGGGGTCATATAATTGGTGTCATTTTGTTTCTGGCTTCTACCATGAAGCCTCGAGTCTCATCTAGCAATGCTGCATTTTTACTGCTGAGTAACATTCCATGGCGCGGATGTACCCTGTTTTACTTAACCTGTGTGTCAACTAATACACCGCTAGGCTGTTTCCACTTTTGGGCTATTGTGGGTGTTTTCTAGCTTGCAGACATTTTCTCAGGACCCTGAGAAGCTCTGACCTCACTTTGTGCCTCCACTTGCATGGCCTAACAGATGCATTAAATAGGTGCTTACTGAATACCAAGTACAGTGTTCACGTGGATCCACTCAGCAAACTTGCAGGATCGGCGACAGGAAGGAAGCCTTTCACCTGACAAAGTGGGCAGGACCTTCCTCTCTGGGTGCCAGGGTAGCTGCTCTCCTTCCCTGCGATGAGGAGCCTTGCTGAGGTCACGGGTGTGTGGATAGTGCCAGGAAAATGATTCGCAGTTAGCAATATGGACTCAGGTGTGGGTTCAAATCCCAACTCCACCCTCTTCTGCTCTAGGACAGGGTTTTATGAGGCACCTGTCCTAGGCAAGGTGCTTGCTAAGGGTCCCAAATGCCAGGCATCTCATGGGGGACAGGCTCTTCCCACAGGCCTGGGATTCAGACCTCGGTCCAGCCATCTCATGGACTCAGACCACCCACCACTATCTGCTGTGCCCACAGTGGAAGCAACTGCAAAGCCCCCGTAAGGACAACAAGGCACGGCCACACAGCAGAACACCACTTGGCAAGAAAAAGAAAAAAAGCATCACCAAATGCAGTGGAGCATATCTGTAATCCCAGGGCTCAGGAGGCTGAGGCAGGAGGATTCCAAGTTGGAGCCCAGCCTGGGCAACTTACTAACGTGTGACCTTCTCTCAAATAAAAAATAAAAAGAGCGCTGGGGGTATAGCTCCATGTAAAGTGCTGGGTTCAATCCCCAGTACCAGGAGCAGGGCTGGGGTGGGGTGGGGTGGGAGTTAGGGTGAGATTGCAGCCCGGACCTAAAAGACAGAAAATTCCAGGAAAAAAAAGCAGCATGGGGCAGAGCTCTCACCATGTCAGGGAGTCAGGAGCGGTGTGCGCTACGTACCCAGCAACCCAGAGCCACTTCAAGGACAAGCAGGGGCCATTAATGAATATTAATGAAATTATAATCATAGATATAAGGTCGTCTGTTTGTGCGCCGGGGGAGAGAAGGTGCAGACCCCTGTCCTGCAGGTCAGTCCTGCTCTGCACCCTCTGCCCCCATCTGTGAGCCCAGATGCCCTGCTGGACCCTCCCTCCTCCCTCCACCCGTCAACGCCCTGAGGCCCCTCCTCCAGGCTCTACCTCCCTTCCGAAGCTCTTGTCCCTTTCCTGGGACACCCCATTTCTTTTCTTTCATTTTTGTTTTTTTGAGACTGACCTGGAACTCATTATGTAGCCCCGGGTGGTCTCGAACTCACAGCGATCCTCCTGCCTCAGCCTCCCGCCTCAGCCTCCCGAGTGCTGGGATGACAGGGGTGAGCCACCACGCCCAGCATTTCTTATGTCCCCATTTCCCCGCCTGAACCTCACCACCTCCCAGTGCCTCTGAGATCTCACCCTTTTCTGGGCCTTCTGAGTCCTGTCCCATACTTGGGATCCCTCTAGACCCCCATTCCTAAATCTACTACATCTACCCACCTACACAACGATCCACCCACCCACCCATCCATGACTCTATCAGAGTTCATCCTCTTCACCGGAACTTCTGTGGGGTAGTTCTGGGGGCACTGGTGACCTTCAAACCTGGATCCTACCTTTATGGGCCGACAGTCTGGTTGGAGGCCCATTTCCATCATCAAGTGGTCTGGATTGGACCAGGGGAGCTCAGGGGGTCAGGGGAGGACCAGGGGTCCTGACCTGTCTGGAAATCGGGCTTCTGGAGGAAGGTGCGTCTGTACCGAGGCCACCCCGCACCTGGGCCTCTCACATCATCGTGTGACTCAGTGTCGCCCGGGCCCTCACAAGGACGAGGGAACCTGTTCCTGTTCTCTTCAGATTTTAAACATTTCTTTGCAGCTGGGGTGTGGCTGAGGGTAGAGCCTGTGCCCGACATGCGTGAGGCCCTGGGTTGTGCTGCAAAAAAACGAAAGGTTTAAAAACTTCCTTAGAGAAATGGGATGAACACAGGACAGGCACACCACTGGTAGGCGGCGTGATGAGTCCCCACTGCCGCATCATGGTTACCGCTGTGTCTTTAATGATCACAGCACGGTGGAGGGGTGAGTCTGCAGGAGAACATCAGCTTCCCTCCTTGCCAGCTCAGGACTCTGGCTTCCTCACTAGGTGACCTAACCGGTTCCTGTCACATCTAACAACATCAGAGGTCCCTCTGAGTACAGATACATGTCACTGTATAGTGGCACTTGCCTGCAATCCCAGCACTCAGGAGGCTGAGGCAGGAGGATCGCCCTCAATCTTCTGATCTACCAATAAAGTAAGACTATTTATTTAGACCTTTAATTTGCCAATGATATTCACATTTAGTGTTACTAGTCTCATAAAAATCCTGTTAAACCAGGTGTGGTGTGCACGCCGGTCATTCCAGCACGTAGGAGGCCCAGGCCAGGAGGGCACTGAGTTCAAAGCCTCCCCAGGGCTGGCATGTCAGGAATGCCCCACTGCTTTGAACAGATTTCTCTCTTCCTTTTTTGTTTTGTTTTTTTCCATTCTGTTTTGTTTCGATTATGTTGTCTGTTTCTGAAACAGGGTTTCGTTATGTAATACCGGACGGCTTTGAACTCATCTTCAGCCCAGGCTGGCCTTGAACTTGCCACGATCCTCCTGCCTCTGCCTCCCCGGTGCTGGGCTCACAGGTGTGCGCCAGTCACGCCGCCCCGGCCCCTTCTTTTCTCTGATCGGTGGGCCCTTTCTTTGTCTCGCCTCCTCCAACTGACAAGGGATCCAGTGTGATGCTGACGAGGCCCTGAGAAGTGGCCATGCCCACCCTGAGCGAATTTGTCCGGGGCAAAGTCTGTCTGTCACAGCTCACTGTCATGGCAGCAGGACGCTGGTTTGTTTCCCCCTTCGTTCCTTAGGCCCTTATGTCAGGGA